ATTTTAATTGGTCAATCAACAAATTGCATGGGTTAAAATTTTGTATTCCCTCCTGTTAATTTTTGTGTTCCCAGTACATTCTCTCCTGTTGCTTACTCCCCCACCCCCTGGTAAGACATTTTGATCACATGCATGATACATATTTGCCTTTTTAGGTATCAACAAAGCAAGAGCAAAAAAAAGAATTAATTTTATTAATAAATCATACATTTTAAAAGCAACTTCGGAGTAAAAAAAATTACCTTTATAATATATTATGATCTCTTGGAATTCCTGGGTATAATTTGCACTGGCTATTTCTTTGACAAAACAACCTATTTGGTTCTGAGTGTAATAACTCTTACTTATTTGAAAATTACAAACAATGAATCCTGCTAAAGGAAAATCTAAAGAACAAAACTCAAGGATTATTGATGATTTCTCTATCACAACAAAAGTGACCTCTTTTTGACAAAATATGTTTAAGGAAATGTATATCAGATAAATAATGATTAATTATAGCATTTATGTATATGAAAATGTGAGAACTAATTGCCATATCATCCTGTAGACAAAAAGTGTAATACAATTTTTTTGTAAATGACAATTGGTTTACATGCAGATCATTCCCAAATTAAAACACTTACATTCAAAATTATAAAAATGCAGATCTTTCACTGAAGCCATTATGATCACGTTATTTATGAGATTATGTGTGACCTAAGATTTTCTGTTATCCCCACCCCCTAAAATATTAGCTAATATATGGGGCATGGACAATAAGAAAAGGGCATAACTACCAAAATTGTGATCTTGAGTTAACAACATTCCTATGTGTAATTTGCTACAAAGATTAATTTTAGCTTAGAAACCATACCCACTTTACTTAATAAAATTTCGAGATAATTAAAGAAAACTGTAAGACGGACAAGAACCAACAAATTGGTATTATACTAAAACAAGTAATGATAAACCTAAATCCGGAAATTTGGTTCAAATCATTTAACACGAAATTATTAATTTTTTTTTTGTTATTATTATTATTATTTTTATTAAATGGAAAATAAAAACAAATAAAATTTTATCATCTAAAATTCACTTTTTCACAACACAAATAATTGAATCTGATATTTAAAAAAATGACTTCTACACATTTATTTTTTAACAATTTTTTTACTGAGACACATCCTAATTTAATTGACTTAGAAGAATCTTTTGCTAATTTGAGAACAAGTTATATGCCTAATTTGATTATTAACAAAAATGAAGAAATAGTTGATGAAACAGAGATAAGTCATGATGAAGAAGAAGACAGTTGTGAAGCAGAAGAAAGTGATTATGAAATGGAAATGTTGTCTAAAGAACAATTAGAAAAATTCAAAAATATATACAATAAAAATAAAATAATGGATGACCAAATTATTTGACTCTGAAGAGCAAATAGAAATAGATCATGATATCAACCATTATGTAGCAAATTTGCTAGAAAGAGATTGTTGTCAAAAAAAATGCTTGAAAATGAATTTAAATTTTAATGATGTTAAAACCAGATATAAATGTTTTCTTGATCTTAAAAAAACTGAACAAGATATTTTTTTAAAAGGTTTTCTTTCTGCTAGTTTGAGAAATGAAATAACTACTAGAGGAGAAAAAAGGAGAAGATTGGCAAATGTTTGTTCTTTTGGAGGAGTTGAAATTTGTCTGACTGCATTCATGGGTATTATGGTATAGGTAAAAGAAGATGGGGAAATGTTAGAAATCATTTTAATGAGTTTGATATACAGCCAAGAACACATTCTTTAACAGGAAAAGTAGGTAATAAAGCAGTATCATTTGATGGGGTTTTGCAGATTATTAATTTATATTAAATTATTCCAATACAAATGGACTCCCATCTCCAGGTAAATATAAATTATTTAAGGGTAGAGTGTAGTCATGTGATTTTTCATAAAGGATAAATTTTTTACAGTGATGATCATTTTCTTATGTCACACATTAAAATAAATTATACACAGGTAGACTCGATAAGTCGGTTTTGGCCTAAGTCAGCCAAAATTTTTCAGCCCTTTTTTTCCCTATTTAAAATCCCTTG